GTGAAGAGTTTTGAGCTCATCCCCTCTCCTAAAAATCCATTTTGGTGCTTATTTGGCGATCTTTGGTGCTCCAGAGTGAAGGAAGCAAGAAAGATTGATCAAGGTAGATTTGCATTTGAAGTATTCAACCTTCTTATCACTTTCGGTCCCTTTGAGGCTTGTTCCATAGTGTTTTAAGGACTATTTAGCTTATGTTTGATGTTTGAGTTAAAATATTGTCATTTGGTAGAGTAGAGAGTGCATGCAAGAGGTCTCTTTACTCTATACATGAACAAAAATGAGTTTTTGGACATTTCTTAATCTAGGCTTTTAGATCTTGGTTGTTTGGAGTGTCTCAATGGATAAAGTTGGAAACTTTATCCATTAAGAGACTAGTGGGAATCATATCAGGGAGTTAGAGCCCTTGACTTAACTGTTTAAGTCAAAAATGAAATTTAGATCTGAAAGGATGTAACGCGCTTCTAGAGTGTGCAGAGTACCTTTGAGTTTTTTTGAATTGCGTCTGATTTAAGATGGAAGTCGACTATTTTGTCACTTTGTGTACGTTGGGCGTCCATGAAGGGGCGTGGGGTGCATGTGATCTTTTCTATTGACTTTTGGTTTTTTGACTTTGAGCATTGACTAGTTTGACTTTTGGATGAAACCTTGATGGAATTAAGTATTTGACTAAGGATTGGTATTAGGTAGCTCGTGCTAGTTGTTTCATCATAGAGACCGTTGTTGAGTTCCTTCTATTGGCTCATGTGAGTTTTCTCACTGTATTATATGTTACAATATATATCCTCTGTATGTTAGGATGTGGTGGTGTTGTAGTATGTTGATTAGGAAAGTAGGCTAGCATAGTGTTTTGCGTGTTGATTGTTTGATTGATTGATTGTATGATATGTCGACATGTTATGTTTTGTGAGTTGATGGTGGATTGAAATGTAGGGCTGAGAGCTTAGATTATTCCCATTTAGGCTTAGACGTGCAATGGGTACGTTAACCGTTGGTTCATGGTTAGATGTACACTAGAGCTATTAACCGATGAGATGACTAGACATGCACTAGAGCTGTTAGTCGTGACTAGATGTCCACTAGAGCTGTTGTTCGTTACTTGTTCAGGTGGATCGACATTAGAGCTAAGAGCCTCATTTGTATGCATTGTATGTGTATTGTGGTATATGGTATTTTGGGAACTCGCTAAGCTTTAGCTTACAATTATGGATTTAATGTTTTTAGGTTGTTCCCTAGATCGTGGTTAGGCTCCAGTTTTACTATATTGTACGCGCATCGCAAACGCTTATGACTTATGTTGATTATGATGTGATATTGTGTTTTTCCGAAACTTGGTTTTAATACATTTTTAAACTATGGTTTTATAATGTTTTGACTTAACCTATTACTCTGATCTTTTATGAAAATGCTTTGGATAAATTACTTATTATTTTTAAAAGAAAATTTTGGTTTGAAAATTGGGACATTATAGTAAATATTACATAGAGGTGAAAAAAGTACACATAAGCTATCCTATACTTCAGTCGTGGCAGATCCTCAAAAATAGAAGTAATCCGAAAATGAAAAGTATGTATGTTGCTTGTTCTATGGTTGTTATAGAAATATGATGATCTGACATCAAATATTCTAAAAATATGCAAAGAAAAACACCATAATCTTCTATGCTGATGTATTTTTAAGGGAGCACACAATTGTTATAGACGTAGGATGACAAGATGCCTTGGCAGTATGCCGACATTCTCCAAATCTAGATGTGATTTAACAATATAGTGACTTTACATTGAAATATGTAGGACCGTTTCACTCTCCGGTCTCTCATACCCCTCCCCCATTCCATAGTAAGATTGTGGTATATACTGACAATCATATTATCAAATCATAGCTTTGCCTAAGGGGTGTTCCGGATTTCGTCTAAAAACAACTTATTGACTTATTGGCTTTTTGAAAAGTCGATAAGTCATAAAAACTGTTTGACAATATGAAAATGACTTTTAAAATAACTATAACACTCGTTTGAGGAGAAGGAAGCCTTTGGTGAGGATTATCATCTTACAAGCAGCATATTCATCTTCTAGCTTCTCTTCTGGACTTGGGTGAGTGTTCAAGACTCAATATTTTCTTTTCTAGGTTGTTAGATCTTGAATTTTCATCCCTTTTCTTCATGCTTTGTGGGTCTTGGAAGGTGAGATCTCTTAAAGCTTGAAACTTTATGAATCTCCAGGCCATTTGGAGTATTTAAAACTTTGGATTTGAAGTAGACTTGAGTTTTGAGGCCATGCATGGACTCTTGGCCCTTTTGCCCTTATTTTCCCTAAAAAGGGAAAGGACATGCATTGGACATGCATATCCCTAAAGCTATGATTTTTATGGTCCAAAAGGTGTAAAAAACCCTTCTAGAAACTTTGGAGAATTAACTCTAATGATTAAGTGCTTAATGAGTAGTATGTGCTTTATGCTTCCATTAAGGACTTGGGGCTTTGGATCTTGACTTATTGGAAGGCCTAAAGGATAAATTTGTAAACTTTATCCATCTAGGTTATGGTTTGGGCCTAGTTTGAGCTTGGAAACTCCTAGAATGGGCTGGAAATCAACTTAAGGAATTAAGTCATTCTGACTGATCTCCATGACATGGTGGTTGGGCTGAGCACGCATGTTTTGTCGTATTGCGACCACGGCATGGCCATGGATGGTCACGATGTGGTGTTCAACTGTAGGTTGACTTTGACCTTTGACTTTGAAACAAGTTTGACCTAAGAGTATTTTGGGTATTAGAGTGGTATTTGAGATTTGGTCATTATTTGATGATTAGTTTACCAGTTGAGCTGTCATTTGGAGTTGTGTCCTGTTCAGAGATCTATTTCAGACTGAGATGTGATTTTTTCTTACTGTACTTATGGGTCGAAGGCACAAATGTCATAGTGAACTGTAGATATGCTTGTTAGTCTATTGACTAGTTATATGATTATGTGTTACTGTTATATATTATCTGTTATGTATATGTCGACATAATATGGTTGGGTTGAGGCGTTACTGCTTTATGTGGAAGACAATAAACCTGGGAGCAAGCCAAAGATAAGTTGTGGGCCCAAGAGGCAAGCCAAACTTATCTTTTGGGATCGGGAGTATGTCGGACATGTGTTGTGAGCCTGAAGGCAAACTAGACTAATGTTGCGGACTCAGAGGTAATCTAGTATGTTAACTGTGGACCCAATATGCATACTGCTATATGTTGTGTGGTGGTACTTTGGGGGAACTTACTAAGATTTGGCTTACAGTTTCAGTTTTATGTTTCAAGTACTTCGGATGACCGGGGCAAGGTGAAGGCGTGATTGTACACATTCTCCGATGATATGTTTTGGGAGATTTTTATGATACATTGGTCTTGGGAGTATTTGTATTTGACACATGATTTGATATGGTATTGGGTTGTAAACGATGGTTTCTTTTAAATTAAAATGAAAATTTTTATTGTGATTTTGGAATGTTACAAGTTAGTATCAGAGCCCTAGTTTGAGAGAATTGGATGAGTATTCATGTAAATCCAGACTCAAACTAAGGATCTGTAAAGGTTTTCAAAATAATTTTCAAAAAAGATTCCCAAAATAGTTTTCAAAAGTAAATAGAGAAAGACGCGATGTGTATGATCAGCTGGAGCAAGGAAGTATATTCCAAGTTACCACACTAATATTTGTTATGATATGAGTAGAACTACATGCTAGTGATAGGCTAGGGTTCTTCAGTGACTGCATAATAGAATTGTTTGATATGTAATGCATGATAGCCTAGGAGGATTTCTTACATGTTAGATGAAATTGACATCATTACTGTAGTTGCTTAGTGTATGCACCATAATTGTACATAACTAAGATCTTATAGCATGAGAATGTTTGACTTAGCCTTATTTCCTGTTCTTGTCTGATGAAGGGCTTACAGTTGGGTCAAGTATTCGACTGTCTATGGGATCCAGCGTTATGTATGATTAGCATGCACGAGTGGCTACATCGCTTATTAGATAGTAGGCTTGTTAAGGAAAATGATTAGCTACTCTCGAGATAGCAAGGATAGGATGTATGCGTATCCTAGTTGCAGATTTGTTATCGGGTAGTATGTGATGATACTTGGAACAAATACGGGTAAGTATGGAAGGTAGTATGGGTCCGTACTACTGGAAGCACGGGACCCGTATGTGTTACAAGGGAGTCAAAAACCCCAAGGGTTAGCCTCTTTGTGGTGATCGTATAGTGTAAACGGTGGCATTTTATGATGTATCTATTGGTTTCTTTTCAATATGGTGTTCACGAGAGGATCAGGAGCGGGTGGCCAGGATAGGTCGTGGTTGACTGAGGATCGGATTCATGAGATGATTGCTGCTGAGGTGGCTACTGCGATCCATAGTTCTATCTGGGAGCTGTTTGGGTCTATCAAGATCACCATGATTAAGCTATTTGACCAACACTATGCTGAATTGAGTGATACCATTGCTGCTGCAACCACCACGGTTGTTGTTGTCGTAGGGGTTCGAGGAGAGAGAGCTTTCCAGTACCGGGACTTAAAAAATACGAAGCCCCCACAGTTTGATGGGGACAAGGACCCGATTGTGGCTATAAGGTGGATGTCTGATGTGGAGGGTTTTTCTTCACATGCTCTTGCCCGGATGACCAGAAGGTCAAGTGCGCCCTGAACCTTCTCCGCTTGGGGGGTGAAGGATTGGTGGAGGTTAGTGAATGGTTCATACACTCCTAAGCAGAGAGCTGATGTTTCATGGGAGCAGTTATCAGAGATGTTCCGTCTAAGATATGTTCCCTTGGTGGAGAGGGAGATATTGGCTCAGGAGTATCAAAATAGAAAAACTACAATCAAATAAATAAGAGCATTGGGTGGTTGAATATATAAATAAAGATGTTACATAAACATACATTTAAATCAAAAGAAAAAACTAACATTCGTCAACTTTGCTCAAACAAAAAAAACCTATATCCGTTTTCTGAATCTTCTTTCTTCATTTAACACCATTCAACCATAGAAACTTGATGACAATTCTTCACTAACCTGCAATCAAAATATTTTTCTTGAAAAAGAAGAATCAGAAAGATATCCAAGCAAAACATTGATGTTTGGAGAGTCACATTCAAGATTGAGTAATACACACAAATCACATATAAAGATTAAATGAGAAACTGAATATAAAGAAAGAATAGAAAAGCTTCGTTTGTTTTGGTTGAAAGAAAAAATCATACTGCAATTACCATCGATGCGACATAACTCATTTCTTCAAATCATTATATTTGGATCGTGAATGCTTCAACTATATGAAAACTTTTGAATCACAATATCTTCAACCAAATGACGACTTTTTGTAAGAAAAATGTACTAATATAACTACATATATAACAAGAGAAGGCAAAAAAATTATTGGAAATTTATAAATACTATAAATGGTTTTAATTAAGGAATATAAAAAGTTATGTAGGTTTCAAATCAACATGGTTTGAGAAAACAAAATATCTCTAAACATTTGATTTTGAATGGTATGATTTGAGAAAACAAAATATCTCTAAACATATGATGTTGAATGGTCTTATTTATATTACTGGAAAAAAATATATAACACGATCAAATTATGAGTAAAAAATGATATATTCATCCACAACCTTGACTTGTAGAGCTCTTTTAGGAACTCTATCACTGCAAATACGTTCTAAAAGAATTGTGTCTATTGAAAATTTTTCTTTTCATTTTCTTATGACATCCTTTTTACATGTAAGATTTTATATAACACAAAAGACACAAAAGATTGGCATTTTTATAGTAAACTTTTCACTAAATGCTAATTAAACATAATATAAGTTATAAACTTTTGAGTGTTAAATCATAATTAAGAAAACTTTTGAGTTGCATTAGTTAAAAAAGGGGTTTCAAATGAATGTGGTTTGAGGAAGTTAAAAAATGGGGTTTCAAATGCATGAGATTCAAGAAAAAATGCTAGTTTTATAAGTATGTACTAGACGAATTCCCGCGCGTTGCGCAGTGTAGGTTAAAAATATATTGTTTTATAAGTATGTTCAAAATGGTTATATTATTGACATTAACTTTGACATAATATTTTGAACAATATTATTCATTGACATTAATCCACATTCATCATTAATAAAATTAAATATAATTATATATTTAATATTATTTTTAACAATTTTTATGGTTGATTAATTTAAATTTTTACTTATGCGATTATTTTCTAATTTCAATAATGATGTTTATTTAAAATACAATTTATTTGTTTTTAACGTTATGTAATTTATAATTTGATGTTATTATCATTTAAAGTTATTGTTCTTTAGTTTTAAACCACCTATTATTATTAATAAGTTAAAGAAGACTTTTAAGAAACTCTTAATATTAATATTAAAAAGTTAAACATACACTAAATAATAAACTGATAAGATAGACAATTTGCATTTCAAAAGAGATTTGCATGGATAATATAACATATCCATGATTTTTATAATTTGATTTTATTATTTATAATTATGGTTCATTAGTTTTAAAACCACTTATTATTATTAATAAACGAAAGAAAACTTTTAAAAGACACTTTTTATTATAATTAAAATGTTAAACATATACTAAAATATAAAGTGATAAGATAGACAATTTACATTTTAAAGAGACTTACATTGATGTTATGTATAATATTGCATATCCATGATTTTTTATTAATTATTACTTTGAAGCAACACAAACATACAAACATATATACAATATCTAATTAAATACTATCTATATCACTTTTGCATAACATATGATCGATAATATGAATCTAATCAAATTTACATTAAAGGTTCAACCACAACATACAATGATTGTTTTAAAAGAATAACTAAACCAAGAAAAATATAAAAAAAATAGTATATAACAAACTTACAAATTAAAAACTTTAACATAATAACATGGCTCGAAAAATGGTCCAAAGCCCTCAAACCAACACAAAACATTTAAACTTGTTTTCTTTGTGAATTTTGTATGTGATTTGTATTTGTGTGTCTACTCAAAGAGAATAACATTTTTATAGTAGATTATCCATTAATTGCTAATTAAACATATTATATAAGTTATAAAACCTTTCATGATATGTGATTAATTACTTTGAAGGTGAAAAGGTGTGGGGATTTCAAATGCATGAGGTGCTTGGAAATTTGTGTGGGGGTTTCAAATGCATGAGGTGATAGGAAAAATGTCTCCTTTATAAGTATAGTATGATAGTATGATAGTATGATATAGATTATAAAAATATATTTAGGAAATATTTTAGTTAAAATGAGATTACAATTTAGTTTTTGCATTTAGCACTACAATTTATCACTTTTAACTATTCACAAAATATTCTTTGGGTTTTTAACTAAAACTGAAATTTATATTTAAGTTGACACTGTAATGTTATATTTAAATTAACAATTTAAGTATTTTGTCCAAACTATTCGAAAGTTGTAGCTTTAAACTGATAATGGTTTACATACAACAACATATTAAATCTAATAAATTAAGTATAATATGTTAAAAGTTAAAGACATAACTTTATAAGTAGAAGTAAAAATATTATCTTAATATTAAAATTTAGTTTATTTATGATTGCACTTTATGTTTGATATTTATTTAGCCTTATTAACAAACTTATAATCATTATTAGAAAGACACTACAATTTATCATTTTTAACTATTTACAAAATATTCATTGGGTTATTTAAGTTGACTTATAATGTTATATTTAAATTAACAATTTAAGTATTTTATAATCAAAAGTTGTAGTTTTAAAATGATAAAGGTTTACATACAACATCATATTAAAACTAATAGGTTAAGTATAATATGTTAAAAGTTAAAAATATAACTTTGTAAGTAGAAGTAAATATATTCTTTTAATATTGAAATTTAGTTTATATATGATTACACTTTAGGTTGGATATTTATTTAACCTTATTAACCAACATATAATAATTTTTAGAAAGAAATTGAAAAGTCATGAGAATTTCAAATGAATGTGATGAAAGGAAAAATGCTTCCTTTATAAGTATAGTGGACGAATTCCCGCGCGTTGCGCAGTGTGCAATTATATTGTTTTAAATCTTGATTTTTATAACGGGTGTTTAGTTGTTAGAAGTTACTATGACCAAGTTAATAAAATTCATCAACGTCCGGATTAAAACGCAAGACCTTCAATCTAAAAGAAAAACATATACTAAGTGGGCTAGTCTCACATTGACGTTTAATTAAATATACATTTCAGTTTAGGTTTTATATTTAAAAATATACATAATTTTTAACTATTAGAAAAATAATCTTATGTTATTTTGATTTATGGTTGTGATTTAAAATCATTTTTATTTTAACCAATAAGTTATATGTATATATTTGGTTGAAATATGAAGAGTTGGTTTGAACTTAGATTAATAATTGATTTTAATGTATTAATTAATTCAAATTAAGGAGGTTAAAGTGAATGTTTTAGTTAAGTTAAAAAACCCGAGTATGTTCGGTTAATTACTTGAAAGATCAAGAGTTTGTGTAACTTTCAAATGAATATTTTGCATTAATATGACATTTATTATAAAATAAAAACCAAGATTAGTGAATAACCAAAAAAGTACACATTTTAACAATCTTGGCATTGATATATCTTATTAGGTGTTTGTTTTATAGTTCCAACATTTATTATCATTTCTATTATTAATTATTAAGAATTTTTTGTAGGTTTAAGCTGTGGAGGTAGCTTGTTCGAGCTATGTGTTTCTTCATAAAAGTCCAATTATTATTTTATTGCAATTAATGTGTTTGACTCCTTACTCTGTTAATGTTGATTTAAGAAAATCATTGCATTGATCATTTTCAAGAATATGAAACATGTGAATGGATAACAACAATAGAATTAAAAACCAAGAGATACAACTTCTACAACAAACCTAGAACAATTAACAATGGTAAAGGGTAAAGTTTCTGGCATAATCTTTAAAAACATCAATGCATCATCTTATTAAAAATTATAAATTTCCTCATAAAGCGATAAACTCATCAGCTCATTAAAGTGAATTTCTACATCTCAATATGAACTCAAAACAAAAACTTGCCTATTGTTCAAAATGTGAGGTAATCTTCAACTTAAATATTCATTAAATCTCAGAGTGTTTATAAATAAGTTCAACAAATTATGCATATCACATTTCAAGTAGAGTTAGAATCATAAAACTTGAAGTTAAATCCTCACCCTTGATTGCTCTACTCACCAATTCAATTTTACCCCCAATAATATAAACTTATAAGAAATGGATTGTGTAGAGCCTTGCCTTTCAAAAAATAATTGCTCGTACCTGTATGCTCAATAAAATATTGCATGTGTCAATTTTTAAAATAGATGTTAGAAAGTTCTCAAACCTAAGAGCTACTTTTATTCACGATTACAAACACAATATGTGAACAAACCAACAAAAAAAACCCAATTGTTTTGATTAAAAACACAAAATGCATACCTTGCTTATTATAGATTATTGAACTTCAATATTATATTGACAACATAAGACTTTCATTTACACCAAAACAGAGAACAAATGATCACTAATTAGACAAAAGAAGTATTTTGTTTTGGTTTAGGATATTTGTTTCTATAGAAGTAAGTATTTATAGGCTAACTACATTTATGTGAAGAGAATTTCAAAAGTCAAATTAAACCATATAAGTTGAATAGTCTTGGAAGTTTCAAATGAATGAGATTCATTACTTTGAAGGTGAAAGGGTGTGGGGGTTTCAAATGCATGAGGTGTTGGCAAATTTTTATGGGGGTTTCAAATGCATGAGATTCAAGGAAAAATGCTAGCTTTATAAGTATGTATGATGATATGATGTGCAAGGGTGTGTGTGTGTGTTTTGATATTTGATCATTCATTTTGTAACCTTGTAATTAATCAATCAACCAAAGTACCTATCAAGTTATACTTACACACACACACACACACACACACACACACATATATATATATATATATATATATATATATATATATGTGTGTGTGTGTGGGGGGGGGGGATTATGCGTGTAAATATAACTCGATAGGCTCTTTGATTGATTACTTTCACGGTTAAAAAACAAATGCTCAAATATCAAAAGACAACATTAGCAATATTAGAAAAACTATCTACCAATACAATGACTATTTTTTCCTCTATATGTAAAAAATATCAAAAGATGATATTAGCAAGATTACAATGAAGACATTAGCAAGATAAGGTGTAGCTATCGACCAATCATAAACAGACACATAAACAGGCATACATGACATCCATAACAAACTGCTCACACTAACATACACCATGGTTAGGAGCACTGAAAGTAGTATACATGATAACCTTTTACCAAATGAGCATAATATGATCTACCTACTACTTCAGTACTAAAACATTTGTCCTTCACTTCGGCATGACTTCTACAAAAGATACTTTGGAGTCTTTGTTTAGCTTTAGATTGGTCACAACATAATCTAAACTTTACATTCTTTCCCTTCGTGACGAGTCCCATATCGTCTGAAGTTATTTACTAAAATGAGCAATACTCAAAAGGGATTTTCGGACTGCTAGCCACTAATTTAGATGATCCATAATCTCTTTTTGTCCTTCTTAGAGTTAGCATCACATGTTACACAAACAATGTGATTTTGAATAGTACCAGTTGGAAATCTCTCCTATCATCTACCCTCGAGAAAGCTTTTGTATTGGGGTGGCAATTCTCAACCAAACGCAAAACCTAACACGAACCCAACCCAAAAATCTATCGGTTTGGGTTAAGATTTTCGACCCGCCAACTCGCCTATTTCATGAGTTAGGTTCGGGTATGTGTTTGTGTTCAAGGTTAACCCAACCAATATATATGATTTTGAAAAAATATTAATATTTATTAATTGGTTGGTATTTGCTTGGAGCATGTCCTAAAAGGCTAGAATCGAGAATCCTAAATCAGTAACACCCTTATTACTTCATAGATCGCCTTTCCTTTGTCTTGTCCTTATCGGCTCACTCCCTTCGTCTGGTCGAATACTCGGCGCCGACGCCGGCGAACACGAGCTCCATCGTCACTATCATACATTTTAGTAATTTGTCACTTTGCCAACAACATTGCTCCATATTCAATGTATATGCTTAAATACTATTTAGTAATTAATTTTAGAGACGTGTATAATCTATATGTGCAAAGTTAATCCGAAACTAACATGCCGGCCCTTTAACCTGAAACTAACCTACTGACCCGCGAACCTGTGAACCTGTATAACTAAACGGGTTATGTGGGTCAGGTCCAAGTTAATGTTTCCAACCTGTAACCAACCAACTTGAATACATATATGGATTGGATTAGGTCAATGTATTTTGATTCGCCAACCCACCAACCCGTGACTCAAACCCAACCCAATTGTCATCCCTACTTTTGTAATAGGTCATTTTTAGGGGTGGCAATACCAACCCGAACCCAACCCAATAAACTACATGTGGGGTTGAGATTTTGAACCCATTTAATTAAATGGGCCAACCTATCTACCTGTTTAATTAAATGGGTTGGGTTAGGGTTGAATTTACTAAGCTGTTTACAACCCACCAACCCGTTTAATATTTTTAAATATTTTTTAATTTATATTTATTTAGTATTATTATTTAGTTGATCATTATATTTTGATTATTTTTATTTATCAAAAATCATCGTTCTTGGAATCCGAGTTGGTAAAATTCATAGTCGAGTAGCATAAAATTTAGAAATTAAACATTTATAATGTTTTATGGTTGTAAACATTTGATTTGTGTTTGTATTATGGCCCTATAAACTTATTGTTCTATTATTTTCAAACTTCAACAATTATTATATCTTTTAAATTGTATGTAATTTTATTTGATGAAATATTTGAATTTTAAAAGGTTTTTTTTGTGAAATTTTAAACGGGTCAACCCGAGTTTAACCTGTTTAGTAAATAGGTTGGATTGAGAAACAATAAACATGTCAACTCGATTTCAACCCATTTACTAAAAAGGTTGGAATGGGTTGAGCATTCTCAACTCGTTTACTTAAACATGTTGAGTTCGATAGAGATTTTCAACCCATTTAATTAAACAGGTTAACCCGTTTATGACCCAACCCAACCCATTGCCACCCCTGCTTCATCATATAAACTATTCCCCAAGGTTTAAGTACAATTTCACCATCTTTGGTCTTTGAGATGTTCTTCTATTTCGTATCAAGGGTAGCAATAGTCATCTTGAATTCCTTCGACAAAAGTATTAGACAAAGCCATTTAAGCATAGTAAAAGTGCACGAAAGATTGCAAATTGTAACACCTTCATCCAGGTATTTTTCCTTTGTACCCTTAGTATGAAATTTAATTGCAAAATTGGTCCCTTGGCTCATTAAGTGAAACGCATGTTGTACCTAGTGCGTTGGGTGTACGGTAGCTTATGTCAGGCGTAAGTAGCTGAGGGTCAAACCCTAATTTTTAGGGTTTGAGCCCTATTTAAACATCATTATCTCATCAAGACCTCTTCCCTCATTAGCCTCTATCTCCCAAATCGTCCCTTGCTGACCCTAATTCATTGTGTGAACATTTTGGGCATGAAAGTGTGTTTTTGGTGACGTTAAATGAAGAAGAAAAAAGTGGAATCATCTTGGAAGTTCAAGGCAACTTGGATCCAGAAGTATCTCACACTCAAGCATCATTGGAAGGTGACCTGTAGAGTCAACAGCTAGAGTTGTGATCTCTTTAGCCATCTTTTCAGATTGTGATGTAAGTTTTCCTCACTATACCCATGAGTCGGAGGCACAAATGGCACCCCAATAGATTATGTATCTTGGTATATTGAATTGATGTTGTGCTGGTTATGCGATAAACTGGTAGATCTATAAACTGGTTATGCGATAAACTGGTAGATCTATATGATTACCAGTGTTTACTGAGTATTTGCTAGATTGGTAGATCAGTCTGATTATTTGTACTTGTTGGTTATTGATTGTTATTTTATATGTCGACATGTTATGGTTTGTTGGGTTGAGGCGGTCCTGCTTTGTGCTGAAAGCTAAGATACCCGGAGCGGCCCGGATAGGATGAAGGCTCGAGAGGCGGACCAGTCAGGCCGAAGGCCCGAAGAGTAGTCTAGATAGGCTGTAGGCCCTGCGAGGCGGTCCAGTTAGGCTGAAGGCTCATATATGCGTATTGTTATCTGTATTGGTTGTGTGTGGTACTTTGAGGGAACTCACTAAGCTTTGACTTACAGTTTAAGTTTTATGTTTCAGGTGCATTAGATGATCGGGAAAAGCTAAGGCGTGATCGTACACATCATTCAGTGACATGTTTTGGAGACGTTATGATACATTGATTTTGAAACATTTGTATTTGATCTTGGGTTCTTATAACTTGGGTTTGATTGAAAACAGTGATGTCTCTTTAATTAAGAATGAAACATTTTTATTGTGATTTTTGGGATGGGGTAAATGTTAATATAGCCCAATTAACTATCGTCATTTATCCGATTTGGTCACTAATTTTTTTTCCCGCAATTGGTCATTAAACTTACAAATTACCTGTCTATTAAGTCACTTTCGTTAGTTTTTAACATATCCTCCGTTAACCAGTTATTATAAATTACACGAATAGTCACTATGATTTCAATTTCTTTGTGGTTGGTCCTACACTAGCACAATTCATCACCGTCATCACCACCCGTCAATTCCGGTAAACGCCGCCCTTCATCTCGGGCAACCCCATTAACCATTATTCTAACATACAATCACTCACAAAAAAAATATCAATCAATTTTAGTTTTTATAAAAAAAATTAATTTCAGCGAGTTTCAATTTAAAAATGCATTTAAAAAAATATATATGTTCATAATCAACATTAAATAAAAATGTAACAATGTTTATTTGCTAAATAAGAAATTAATTACTAATAAGATATTGTGAGTTAATTTTTTCTTACATAGAATGCATAAATACTCCTTGCCTTCACAAATTATATACATGACATGCTTATTTGAATTAGATTATCCGAATGAAATTGTTACACCATGCAACACTAAATACAGTTCACTAACTACCAACGTTTACACTTTTATTTGCGACAAGAACTTCATATTAAAAACTGATCATTTTAATGCAACTATTTCACCAAATAATATTAAATACGCTTTGCAAACTTCTACGATGACCATTTTTTAGTGATCTAGCATATTTTTGATCAGGGATTTAAATGGTTGAAGTTTCTACCAAATGTATCATATTTTTACTTAAAATCAACCGGTAAACTAAACTCTTAAATCAAAAATCATAGGGGTTGCTCGAGGTTAACATTAGTGGGTGCCGGAAGTGAACGGTGGTGGTGCAGGTGATGAACGATGCTGGTAAAGGACCAAACACAAAACAAAATTGAAATCATTGGGACCATTCTTGTAAATTATAATAACTGGTTAACGGAGGATCTATTAAAAACTAACGAAAGTGACTTAATAGACATGTAAATTGTAAGTTTAATGACCTATTGAGCAAACAAATATTTTAGTGACCAAATCGAATAAATGATGATAGTTGATCGGGGTATAGTGATATTTACCCTTTGGGATGTTACACAAATGTTTGTATGTAGTGGTATGGATGTTTTGTAGCGGAGACACCTTTTAGATCAATTTCTTTATATAACATCATATTTGATACCCCATGATTAAGTGAAATACAATATGGTTGGCTTCAAGAAACTTAACCAACATATGATCCTCCATAAGCCGTTATCTACTTAACCTGTGAATTTTGTAGGTATGTTCATTGTAAACCCTCATAAGACTTCACTAATCCACTAAAGAAACACAGGGTTTAAAAGACTTGTTACACGTGCCAAATGCAACCGTGAACCTCAATGCAATTGTAGGTTAGTTTATTTTGTTTATTTTTATGGCATTTAAATCATGTTCATGTGGTTTTTCTTTTTCTTGTTTTAGGCATTTTTTGCATAGCTCAAGGAGTAAAGCTGCCAAGGAGGGGTGTACGTGAAGGAACAAATGCCACAAAACGAGAAATGTTGGAAGTTTAAAAATTGATGCATTTGGAATAAAAAATCAATTTATTTTGGTTTTGTAGTGTCCAACAAAAAATATAGTATTATTCTCTTGTTTTTTAATAAATGATCGTTACATTCAAACATCACGATGTTGAAAATAAAATATATTTTTTTCCAAATAAGGATCTAACTTCACAATTCCGATGTGTCATTATACAACACTAAAATATTTTTACAATAAAAAGATCCCAAACAATACATGAAAATGTGGAAAGTCATAACTGCAGATAAAAAAAAATGTCTTAAAAAGAAATAAAAAGTTGAAGACTTTGGGCCAAAAACTTTACATTAGGCTTCGCACTTCGCAGTGAAGTTGAAGATATTGGGCCAAAAAGGAATAAGAATGATAATTTTTTTTATGTGTTTTATCAACTATTTGTAATGTTATTAACTTATTATTAATGTAAAGGATATAATATCAGTAATCTACGATAAACAGAACATATACCAAATAATCAGAAGGCTTAGAATAAGTCATTATGCATAAACAGATACTATAAACGCTAGTTGAAAGCCTACCTCAAAACTGAATCTTCGCACCATGCTTGCTCTGAGTCCAAATATGGGTGGCAATAAGAAAGATGATTCCCAACCATTACCATTGCAAGGTGTTCTTCATGTTTCAGGTTATTGTTTTCCTTTTCGTGTGTCATGAAACCAAAACTGCACCAGAGAAAACAGAGCTTTGCCATACCTCAAGCCCTTCGGCTTCTTCCCTGCTAACAAAAAGCCTTTCACCACCTCCTTCAATTTTCTTGATTATCCCTCTCTCTGAATCTTCCAATTTATCCATGTAATTTCTTCTGAATGATTCTTCAGCAATCTCCATGTTGTTTTCACCGTTTTGTGCTACTCTAGACCATACTTCTAGTCCACCATCTCTCCCAACAAAGACTTGCTTCCTGTAACAATGGACTATACTGTTGTTTATCCCTCCACTGGTGTTTCTCAAACTTGGATTGGTATCTCTCAAGTATACCCATGGATCATCGCTCAATTTCCGCAAATCTGCCATGGCCAAGTCGCCTGATTTGGAGCAGATTTTACACATAGTACCCTCGCTAACATCGATGCTTACGTCAGCGAAGGAATCCCCAAACCTGCTGCTTCGTCCTGAACCTGGCTCGTTCGTCTCCCAAATCACGCGTGCGGATCGGGGATCCCACAGACGGATGTAACCGGAGAAACCGAAAGCTCCGGATGTTACGGCGTTGGCAGCGAGAATTCCGAGATCATTCACGTATGTTAGGTTTCCAGGAACGATTGATTTCGATGAATTTCCGGATTGACGACCGATTTCTGATGTCACCTGGAGAGTTGATTTGTCGATCGCGAGTACGGAGTTTTCCTTGTGGTGTGAATCGAAGGCAGCGAAAACCGAGTCAGGCGAGTCAGCGATGGCGGTTACTCTAGCTTTGTAGATTCTCGGATCAGTAGGATCGGTCCACTCCACGGAGCCGACTCGACGACCGTTGGCGAAGTTGTAGAAATGAATACCAGAAGCAACATCGCAAGCTATGGCCGCCATTGCGGAAGGTGTAACTTGCCTAATTGAAGTAATCGAGTCAAGATGAGTCCGTACAGTACCGGCGTGCGTTAAGTTCCAATCATAGACAGAGATCTGACCGCCGTGCGCTATCCACACCGAACCATCATCGATGGTTGTAAAGGCGGAAACCACGCCATCGGAAGCAGGTCGTATTGTGGCGACGACAGAGGCATCGATACCAGAAAGTGGATTAGGAAGCATAGCGGACTTGAGCTGTGATTCGATACCGTAATATGACGCTTCATCGGAGAGCTCTTGGTCAGTGAACCGGCGGGAGGTTGACGGAAGGCGATTGGTGCGGAGGAGGGATAGAAGGACAGAGAATATCTCAGGATCTCGGTCAATAAACACTGGATTTGAAGACTGTACCTGGCGGTTGGAGAGGGCAGCTAGGAGCGAATCTGGGCCGCCGGAACGGAGGGTGGAGATGGTGGTCTCGAAGAGCTTCCCGCCGACGTTTAGCTTGATGCGGTCAGTGAGGGTAATATTGGAAAGTCCGTCCTCCATTTAAATTCAGTGGCAGCTACTGATTCCCGATTTTGGGAGTTGGGTTATGGAGCATAGGCTATTTTAGGCCGACTCTGATGTACGTTTTTACGAAATTAGCCTCAATATTTTTGCTATCTTGGTACAACTTCCCCCTTTAGATTGCCATTGTCGATAACTTCGACCCCTAACATTTTATATAAATAAGTATGTTATACAATATAGACCGATTAACCTTGTGGGTTGTATGTATAAGACTCTTTCAAAGGTGCTTGCTAATAGGTTTAAGATGGTTCTTGATAAAACTATAAGCTTTGAACAAACAACTAATGTAGAAGGTAGAAACATTTTAGACGGGTCTCTTTTGTTTAATGAAGTTTACTCATGGACTAAGAGATTGAAGAAAAAATCCTTGATTTTCAAGGTTGATTTTTGACAAAGCCTTTGATCCTTTGAGCAGATTTTTAGACTTGCTTATGGAACCGGTAGAATTTACATGTAAATGTAGAAGATGGATAAGGGGCTGCCTTTTCTCAAGTAGAGTCTCATTGTTAATTAATGGTGCTCCCACGAAAAAATTCAACATTAAAAGAGGGGTTAGACAATGTGATTTGTTGGCTCCCTTTTTTTGTTATTGTTATGGAGGGGCTTCATATTTCTATGAAGACGACATGTGAGCTCCATCAGTTTAGAGGTATATCCCTTCCGAATTGTAATATATCTTTGTCCCACCTTATGTATGTCAAAGACGTCACTTTTATTGTTGAGTGGTAGTAAATCAACTTTGTTAATTTGAATAGGTTGCTTCGGTGTTTTTATCTAGCCTCCGCTTTGAAGGTGAATTGACACAAAAGTAAAGTTTTTGATGTGAGGGTTAGCAACTTGGAAATTGATAGACTTGCTTGCTAGTATTTTGAAATGTGAATCTGCCACCTTTCCGTTTATTTATCTTGGGCTCCCGATGGGAGCCAACATGAAATTAGCCAAGCATTGGAATCAGATTATTGAAAAATTTCAGATAGAATTGTCTACATGGAAAGCTAAATGCTTATCTTTTGGAGGTCGTCTTACTCTTGTTAAATAGGTTCTTAACAACCTTCCTATTTACTATTTCTCTTTAGTTCGGGCTCCTAAGAAAGTAATTGACTTTCTTGAAAATATTAGAGGAAGATTTTTATGGCGAGGCGATGAAGACAAAAGGAGAATTCATTGGGTTGCTTAGGAGGTAGTTATCAAACCTAAAGAGAAAGAGGGTCTTGGAGTAGGAGTCTCGATGCGGCGAATTTAGCCTTTCTTTCAAAATGATAGTGGCGTCTTAAATTTGATTATGATTCTTTTTGGTTCTCTTGCATCAAGTCTATTCACGAGCTTAAATTAGTGGATGTGAAACCATTAGCTAAAAGATCTTTTAAAGGTGTTTGGTTCCATATCTCTCAAATCGAATCAAAGTTTGAAGATAAAGGTATTAATTGGGCTAACGTTTTTATTAGAAAGGTTGGTATAGGTGACAAAACTCACTTTTGGAAGGATGTATGGTGTTGTAATGTTTTGTTGAAAGATAGATGTCCTAACCTCTATGTGATTGATTATAATGAAGATTGTTTGATCATTGAGCAGGTTATTCTTGGGAGTAAAATGGATACTCAATGGAATTGGGAGTGGTCAAGACCTCTTTATAGGGGTCGTGAAACTAATCAGTTTTATGCATATTAGTTTGCTTGCGTAATTTTCAGTTTTCAGGAGGTCGGATAAATGGCTATGGAAAAATGAAGAGAATGGTGAGTTTGATGTGAAACAAGTGAGACGTCTCTTGGATATAGAAGTGGAGAGTAGCAGCAGCTCTTTTAAGTGGGTTAACTGTATTCCGATCAAAATCAATTGCTTTGTTTGGAGATTGAGTAAAGATAGAATTCCCAATTTCACCAATCTTTCTAAGAGAGGAATGGTTGTTTCTTCTACATCATGCCTATTCTGCAAGTTATTGGATGAGATCGTTGATCCTGTTTTCTTTGCATGTTTCTATGCTTCAAAGTTGTGGAGTTGGTTAATTTTATGGTCCTCCTCGTTGCAAGGTCTTCCTTCCTCCTGTTCAAATCCGGTGGAGTTGTTGAAGGCGAACACATGTAAAAAAAATGTTTAAATTTGCATTTAGCTCTCGTTTATACTACCATCTGGACAATTTGGAAGGCTCTGAATGCTTTAGTGTACTGGAATGAGAGGAAAGTTGTTATTCTTCTTGCGGATGACATTAGCATTACTACTTTTAATTGGGTTAAGAATAGATCCAAACTTCGTCTTTTTGTTTGGTCGGTTTGGTGTATGTCTCCTATTTCAAACTTATTTTTGTAATTTGGCTTGAGCTATTCTCTTAAGTCCCTTTTTAATGCTAATGTGTTGCATGTTGTTCAAAAACAACTTATATTTTATTTCTAATAACCCAAAGCATATATCTACATGGAGTATGTTTTGGGAGGCAAATTGAAGGACTTTGCAAGCTAGATATATCTCGATAACATATGTTAGGTTATTCTGTTGGATTAGTGTCTAAGTCCATAACTATATTTGGTACGTACTTGACCCAGTTAAGCATGTTCGTTTTGGGTTGCCTTCACCAAAGCAACTGGACAGGATGATTTATAAAGAAAGAGGATATTGTGGTTTATTAATATATTATAAGAATAATATATTAAAAGAGAAATCATATTTGTTTAATTAATATTAGTTAAATAATTAATTAAAAATTATTTATTGTGACTAAAAGAGATTTAATTAAATAAAGGGGACTGGAACTGCAATTATAAGATAATTGATTTTGGGGTAAGAATCCTTATGGATTAGGGCATGGACGAAATTGAGGTGGAGTCCATCTTGAATTCGTCCACGGGGGCCTTATTCTGGAAGGTTCTGTGGACTGCTTAAGGCCTAAGCTATCCAATCAGGGTTTTGACTAAAACCCTAGCAACTCAAGTATAAAAGGACCCCTAAAGCATCGGAATTTGGCCACTTGATCCCTTGGAAGCTTGGAGCTGAATTCTAGCCTCTCATCCTCTCTCCTAAACATCATCCTCTTGCCTTGGTGTTTGTAAGCCATTAGAGGCATCACATTTGAGGTGCTTGGTTCTCGTAAGCTTTGAAGATTCAAGTTTCATACTACAATCAAGAGGTAATATTCTTACTTGGTTATTTATATAGATCTCAAGTTTTGTAGTATGCTAGATTAGGGTATTCAAGTCTTGGATGAATTGCATGTACAATAGAGAAACCTAGATCCAAGCTTTAAGGTTTTGCATGAGCACATATGATTGTTCTTTTGTATAAAACCCATCAGTGGTATCAGAGCCTTGATTGGTTTCTGTTGTATTTGATGTTTGTATGTCATTCATGCTTGAAAATCGATTTTTTGGTCTTCTTCCTGACAGACTCGTCGAGTCCCAAAGTGAACTCGCCGAGTCAGATGAACTCGACGAGTCTAAAAGGGGACTCGGCGAGTCGGGCTGTCAGACAAAGGGAATTTCGGGATTTTATGCCTATTTTGCTGTGGGATAGTTACCAAAACATTTTAATTGATAAAATACGAATTTTATTGATATTGTGTGATTATCCTTGCCAAAATAAAAGATAATTTCAAATTAATTGAATAATTATTTCCGTATATGATAAAATTTGATTATTTGAATTATTTGATCAATTTTCTTGCATGAAATTGGATTAGGTCAAAATTAGATAATCACCAAAAATTAATTGTTAATTGTTTATTTGAATTTTGATCTAGATGGTTTTGAAATGTTTCAAAACTTGCCCTCAAGTTTTGGAATTTAATTTTTGGATTAAAAGTTTAGTTTTGAAATAGTTAAATTCCAAACCTTAGAATTTTACAAGTTTAAAATTCACCCTATACTATTATAATATTATAAGAATAATTATTATATATGTATAAGATAAATGCTAGTCTTACCGTTAGTAGGCCTCATTCACGAAGCCGGTCTATAAAGGGGGGGGGGGGTATAAGGTTATTGCCTATAAAATGGCCGTTTAATGGGTGTCCACTCTCACCCACCGCTTCCTTGATTGGTGAATGGTCGTTAGCCGAACGGGTAGGATAGGGAAACCAATTCCTCATTAAAAGTATAATGATTAATAAAGTAACTAAATGTTTTTATAAAATCCTCAATCTTAGTTACTTTAGGAAAAATGTGAATTTGATGCTATTCCATGGAATTACACTTTATACCCTTGCTAAGACGTTAGTGGAGCGTGTGTGGTTAACCGACACACTAATTTGGCTTTAAGCAAAGGTGGCAAAGGGTGACTCGTTGTTTGTCATAGATCAATGGAGCGTGTGTGGCTAACCGAAACATTGATTAGGTGACTGTAACATCGAGGGCACCAAGTACATTTGCATGGTTATTCACACCCTATTTGTGATCCTCGGTATCCCAGTCACAAACTTGAGGGGCATATCGAGATTTAAACATGCCATTGAAAAGTTCAATGAATCTCAAAAGGATCTAGGAATTTCAATACATTTAAAACTTAGTTGTTTTGTTTTTCATGGTGGAAATTAGTGAATCTTCATTCACTTGCCTTCAAATCATTTGCAATTTAAATTACGGCATCCCTCTTTTAAGTTGTAAATAATGTTGTTGGATCCTAGCCCTATTTTTTCATTTGGGTGTTTAATTGGGGATTCTTATCTAATCAAACTTTGTCTATTTTCCTTTTCAGATGTCTAACTCAAACAACAACAACGCTTCAGGCCCAACCTCATCCGACTCGTTCTCACTCATGAACTTGTGTGGGAGGGTGATCTTTGATGGGACCAATTTTACTGATTGGATCCGGAACATCCAAATGGTTAGCCGCTACGAGGATAAGGAGTATGTCCTCGATAAGGAGCTGAAGGAGGTGAACGTCAACACTGCTACTCCCGAGGAGATTGCTGCCTTCGAGGCCCACGAGCGAGATGCTACGAAAGTCCATTGCATCATGCTCGCGATAATGACTACAGAACTCCAGAAGTCCTACGAGGACTACTATCCGTACGAGATGCACCAGGATTTGCTGGACCGG